GATATTCTTTATCTTAACACTCTCAACCTTAAATTACTGATCTTATCAGTTCATTCCACGAGACTGTTATATCCCGACGAGATTAATGAATGGTAAATTTTGAGAATTATTTATGGACCAAAACGACGCATATGTTTTTATTGCATAATTATTATGTAGCTAAACTATGCATACTCATGTTTCTCTAATTAAAAGCTTTATTTTGACCCATAGACTATTATTATAAGATTTACCGTTCTTGAGTTGTGCCTAGATTATTAATTACAGTCTCCCATATTCTCATCCATATTTGTCTAGATCATGTACAAATGTTGTTTCCTATTTTTTGGTTCAGTGTGGTCTGTTTGGTCTGTAAATAAACCCAGTATGTTTGAAATACATGATTCATATCTCAGAGGCTGAGATTAGTGTTCTGGACTCAACAGGAAGAGCTAGGCAAAAGGATGGTGTACTTTTAATTTCCCAATGAATAGAAATTAAAATTTCTAACGTTTGATGACTTAGCGTAAAGCAATCGAAATTAACACAAGCCTAAACAGTGGAGAGTAAATGACAAAATGTATGTTTAAACGTAAACAAAAGTAGGTCTGATTGTATCGACAACATGTGAATTATTTTTTGGTCAAAGTGATTTTGTATGAGACATCACTATGTGCACATGTGTTCGTGTTAGTAGGCTCGGAAAATATGACGTTTGTTGTGAGGAAGAATAAGCTTTGATAAGCATGTTTACTGGTGATGCAGAATATGAACGGAATTAAATACATGGATATTTAGATAAATGCTACATGCTAAATGAACCAAGTATACAAATATTCATAACATTTCTCATTCACATAACAAATATCATAATAAGAGATGGTGGAGATTTGTAGCTCAGGTAGATGATTTTGATGGAGTTTTGTTCTCTCAGCTGGGTGGTTTGGTCGTGGAGCTTTCATCGTTCTTCTGAACGACATCAGCAGCACAAACTTCAGATAGAAGTGAAGTGTTCGAATTTCTCCATATGTGTTTCACAGCGTTTCACAGAACAAGCTATGAAACGCATATGGAGAAATTCGAACACTTCACTTCTATCTGAAGTTTGTGCTGATGATGTCGTTCAGAAGAACGATGAAAGCTCCACGACCAAACCACCCAGCTGAGAGAACAAAACTCCATCAAAAAATATCATATTATCCGTATCTAATAACATGAACACAGATGAACACAGTGATATCTCATGCAGAATCACTTTGACCAAAAAATAATTCACATGTTGTCGACACAATCAAACCTACTTTTGTTTACGTTTAAACATACATTTTGTCATTTACTCTCCACTGTTTAGGCTTGTGTTAATTTCGATTGCTTTACGCTAAGTCATCGAACGTTAGAAATTTTAATTTCTGTGCATTGAAAATTAACCAATACATTAATTTTTATGTTTCATATTTTACACTCATGCTCAATGTATTCGAAATTATCAAGACAAACCTTGATAATTGAACTTATAACTAATCAACCTGTTTTACGTTTGGATTTGTTGATTCTGTGAATATGAGTAAAATATTTCATCGACAAATCAGTATTATTCATTCTGTCAATCACAACGTCTCATCATAGATATAGGTTCAGACAGTACTTTGCTAAAGACATATAAATATTTGATTGAAAAATATTAAAAAAAATTATAAACTAAACTATATGAGTCAATATCAAACTCAACTTTTTCAACATCCTTACGAATAATGAATGAATAATTAGTGAACCATTAACATAAATTTTCTGTTTGATTTCGTTCATGTTACTTGATCTACCAGCATTTGAACAACGGTGCTAACAAACGACAATTATACATAGATCTGGAGGAATTTATTCCAGACACTCATTTATTCACACATATTTTATAATAAGAATCGGAAAATGCAGGCGTTTCAACTCATAGTATTACTTGTTGCGAGCGTTGATACACATAATCCTCAGTAAGACAAACAGACATTGGATAAAGTAGTGAGTATACAGATATACATATAGCCACTCATGAAGAGAATAAGAATTATATTGACGTAGATATATGAAGTATACGTGCTTTAGGTCAGTGTTTCCTAGGATGAGAAGAGTATAATTATTAAGAATGTTAAGTTCATTTACATTCTACTTTCATTTCAGTCTCATCCATATTGTTTTCGTGTATTGTTTCAGACTACTAGATAATATTCAGTAAAGAGTTTATTATTAATAAATTTAGAACGTATGGTATAAAGCATATTGACTCGTTGTGTGATAACATTAAGTATTTACTAAAACTAATAACGCTTGCTATATTTATCGTTATAATTACGCAACCCCAACCCTTGAAACAGTAATTCCCACTTAAGTAGATTCCTTAAATTTTTATAAGCAAAGATGGATAGTGGTTAGCAGTGGAATCCAGGACATGTGTTTCATCCTATTGATTTACAATTTTATAAATTGCCATATTGTATATTAGAAACAAAAACAGAAGCAAACAATACTATTTTCAATTCGATATTTTCACTGATTTTTTCTGTCTCAAAACTATAAAAGTGACCTCTCAAAAAGATTATGGATAAGTTTTACTTTTGTTGCCATTACATTAATGATACTTACAGTACTGTAGATCAGAACATTGGAAAAGAAGAACTCTTAGAACTATTTAACAATAAATATTCAGCTATCAAATTAACGTGTAAAGAGATGCTTGATAATAGAGCACATTTCCTTGGCATTTTGTTGAACAGAAAAGAAAATAATTTATACGAATATTTGTCAAGATTAGAACGAATAGTTTGACAGAAATTGGGCACCAAGTAAAGAGAAGTCATTAGATGTGAAAATTATATTTGAAATAATCTCAGCGATTGAAATTTGAATAATTCCAACGTTTCTTCCAGCTAACTTGTCTGGACTTCTTCAGGGTAATAATCAAAATCAAAATCATCAAAGAAATATATAGCTTTTTAACAATTAAAACTACACTGTGTTACACCAATCAAATTTGGATGTCGATTTTTGTAAAATAGGATAAAATGAGTCAGTCAACTACAATTCATGTGAAACAAATTAAGTACATGGAAACAATTAACTGAATAACAAATTGTATGTATGTGAGTGTGTAGGTATGTATGTATGTGTGAGACTAATTATTGATGTTCTGTGTTGATATGTTATATATGAAGGAATTAATAAATAAAATTGCAAGTTCAAGGTTGATAAAAAAATTTTGATTGAAATCATGAGTCAATTGAAGCTAGATCACCATGGAAAACCAGTGCTTCCAGGTTTTCCATGGTGGTCTAGCTCATGATTTCAATCAAAAACTCAACATCCTCCACAACACCTAAACTGTTGATAAAACTGTTAATAAATCATCGATGTATATGTAAACTTTCAATTGTTGAGATTATTTCAAACATAATTTTCACATAAAAAGAAAATAGTTCTATCAGCAAAAGCATGTATAGGTAAGTTCTTCAGCAAGTCAGTATACACATTTATTGAACATTTTACCAATTTACTAGGAGAGAAACCTAGTTAGATGTCTTACAAATAGAGCTTGGAAGTTATGCACAGACGACACTGTAAAAAAGAGACTACATCTTATTCATAATGCGTTGATTGAAATTGGTTATACACAGGGTTTTCTAAAAGAATACATTCATTGAATAAACAGGAAAATACCATCATCACAGTCTTGGAAGAAATCCCTCTTCCTAAAGCTGCAATTCAACGGAGATTTAATTGGTGATGTGCTACGGGATAGACTAACTGGAGCAGTGAAAAGAATTTTCAGTGCAGCTAACCTCTGCTTATCGCTCTCGACCCGATCTATGATGATTCCTCAACTAAAGCATAATTTACCTAATTCTGTTACATTTATGTGTATCTATGAATTCAGCTGCTCCTGTGTAGAATGGTATGTTGGCCGCAGAAGCAGGCACCTAAGCCAACGAGTTAGTGAACGCCTCCCTTCGTGGTTAGTAAAGGGTATTGTCAAAACCATACACAGCTCTGTTCTATTACACTTGATCGATGGCAGTCATGTGGTAGACAGAAATAGGTCATTTAAAGTAAATTATCGTATTCCTACTAGTTTTCCTTTTTGGCATTCGATCTCGTCTCTTACACATGGCAGACGCTATGGTAATTAGAACTTGCAATCCAAACCTTTGTATTTATGATAAATTTTTTAATACCTTTATCTTTTCTTTGGCCGAATCAGCGAATGATGAACGAATTCGTTTCCAATTTTTTGAACATCACATTATGCGACGAAAGTTATAGTTTATTTATTTATTCAATGAATATCCTACAGATGACACTGATCATTATAGATCAAGGGAACAGCTTCCACAAAATACTAGTTAATTCGTCATTCGATACAGTCCAAAACCGAATCTTCAACGAAAACTCTCTACATTATCATTTCACATTGAACTATGATCAGTTCGCTAGTTATTTCTAGTTTAAGCATCATTGCATTTTTATTTTAACATTGATTTGTTCACGAAATAAATCTCTCATGCGCTGATTTTATCTGAATCAGAGACTTCAGTAATTCAGGTTTTCTTAAACGTATATTATTCTGCCAAAACGTCTCTTCGAGTTACCTGTGATTTTTCACCATCAACCAACATCTTTAATAATAACAACTACCATTTGGTTAATCGAAAAAAACAGGGAATCATCTTGAAGACACCAAGGCATTACTTGATAATATTTCCCAATATACAAATGTTCAGTGAAAATCAATCTCATATTGTAAACGTGTTCTGATGAAAGTATGTCATATACAAGAACGGTTATATGCAATGTGTGGGGTAAATGAAAAAAAGAGTAATACTTTGCAAATGTGTATTAGGTGGTATATATTGAAAAGAGTTTTTTCTAATGCTATTCAGAACAAGCTTTGTATTTATTTATGAATACATACACGGCTCACTACGCTATTAAGGAGCATGTGATGAATAGTGTTGATCATCGAATAAACTAATTATCAGATATATATGAATCACATCGCTATTGTATACACCCACTCAGTTTAAAACTTATTCATAATGTAAACAAAGGTAATTTGGAATGATATAAATAAAGGTGAAACATAATCTATAAGTAAAGATGTCCTCTATTTGTTTATACGGAATACTGTTCCTTATATGTGCACAAAGTGTTACATCATTTCGAAAAGGTTAGTTATTGTGAATTATTTTACATGTAAATACATTGTGATTATGTATCATATAGTAATCCATAGATAGTTTTCAAGGCTGTTAAGATATTGTGGAGCGCATTTATTGAAATTTCCTTTCCGATCATCATTGACAAAATGTACGAAATTATTATTTGAATGTGACACCAATGATTAGGATTTCTAAGCAAGTCTACAGTACTTAAATATTCAGTAAATAAAGAACAATTTGATTGATTCATTTGGGTGAACTAAAGTGAATAATTATCACTTATTATAATTGCATTGGCTTCTGAATAATTATCATCCAAAACTACTGTATGTGTTATGTTAAAGAAAGTTATGTTACATTAAAGTAGTGTGTGAATTAAGGACTTGTGAGCTATTGTATAAATGACTACCGTAAAATACAATTTACAAAGCTATTGATGATAATGTATCATTACACTAAAACTGAGTGTTATTCTATGTTATTACTCAACATATATGCAGAAATCAGTGGATTTGTAACATGAATATTCAACATTAAATGTTAATACTCAATGAGTCTGTGTGACCAAAGGATCAGAAAATGCTTGTGAATAGTCACTAATGCTAATTCGAATTCATAAATCAAATGTACAGCAATTTGACAGTTCACCTCGAACTGCTATTCAGATTTGTTAAGGATCCAACTGTACAGATGGCAAATAGTGTAACACTAAAAAAACAAACATTTTACGGAAAGGGTTCGGTCTTAACTGTCAACGTTAGTGGACCGGAAACTCTGGATACAAGTTCTTCTCTGGTTGGGACAATCAAAGTCTAACAAATAGCTCAGTGATAACTTTACTGATTGTGAGACTGAGCGACAAAACTCTAAATGCTACAGAATACACAAGTTTCACTAAAATCATAGGAATGTCTTCTTAACAGATGATCAGTGGCGTGAAGCACTCATAGAGTCTTTGATCCTAGCCTCCCAACCACCGTATATCAAAATATCGTACACCCAATGATGATGACCACACTTCGAACTAGTTACCCGTATTTAATAGACAATAATTACTAGATATTCGTTATATTTAATACTACTGGGTGATCGACAACAGTTTTTTTATTGATACCTATTTCATGATTAGCGCCGGTCAGTTTCAAATGGAATCTACACCTAAATTGTTGCTGACTTAGCCAAAGTAACAAGATATCTTCCTAATAACGAAATACTTATTTTATTTATATTCCAGGAAGTTCAGTCTGCCTTTTAGATTATGATGAGGGCATATGCAGAGCTCTGATAAAACGTTTCTACTACAACAGAGTAAATAAAACGTGTGAAGTATTTTATTATGGTGGGTGTCTTGGAAATAGAAACAACTTTCTAAGCAAACAAGAATGTGAACAGAAGTGTAATGGGACGTAAGTATTTTGTCGAAATGAAGCATTTGATGATTATATCATGCAAATACGAATTATGAATATATTTCACCACACAATCATGCTAATTAGATGTTTCAACAGAAAACACTCTAAATATGCACTATAATAATTCACTTAATTGCTACCTAATATCACATGTATAATAAATCGAAACTACTATTACGATATGGAATTAGGGCATTTTTGTGTTCTTTGTGGTTTTACCAAACCACGTTTTTTGGTGTGTTCAAGTACATGAAATGCACATTTTGATAGAAAATTATTACTAGAAGCTGTTCTTAAACTTAGTGGCAGTCACGTGTTTAGTATTTACGATCAGTATGCTTGTGGTTGGTGTCATCTAAAAATGTAAAATAATACACCTCCTCTTGTCCGGGAGATTTCTAGTGTAACTATGATACGGAGCGTGCCACATAAATAGGTCGTGTCTAAAGTTCCCCAAGCCATTATCTTTTGAAGATCAAATCAGACTCTCAGGTTGTCAGTATTTCAGCAATTCACTCTTTGTACCAGGCAACCACAGAAAACATTATCTTTGCACGACGTAGGTCGCTAGGAAGTGACAGGTATCAACATTCTTTAAGCAGTACCACGGATGAGCTTTGCTCAGTCAATTAATTTTACCACCTCCTATCATTTATACTGTCCACACAACCGACAACACTCCTGTGGACTCTAATACTTCCATGTCCACCATCACGGATAACAGCCTGTGTTCATGAATTACTTTTCTGGGTCTCCACGGATTGTACTTCTGATTACATCTCGAGGCATTCAATTTTCTAACAGATATCTCAAGTTAGATTTTCCGAATCCAGTTCTATCGGTGTCTACTGTTCACGAAGTCCTTATATGGGTTCTCTGTATGGCTGCTTAAGCTCATCGCCAAGGTAATATTAACTCTCGAAGCATCTCACCATTTGTTTATGTGAAGAACTGAAAGAAGCTACTTTCGTCTTCGATACTCGGTGTACCGATTCCTTTAGAAAACAAGTATGTATTGCTTGACTTATGAGTAAAGTGAGAACGCTCATGATAGAGGCACACACAGTCGTTCCTTCCCAAGCCCTATCTGATTACTGATTGGATGGCGTAGAAGATGCGGTCTACGGCAAGGTTTGTGAATTACAGTTTTATGTATTATACATTCTCCTACGATCCTCACTAATGGTTGTTTGATCTCGATGATGTTAATTATGTACGGTAAAAATTATCCGTTTGCTGATTTTTGCTGTTAATTTCGTATGGTCTGTCTGATACACACTTGATGGTGACGTTTAGTGGCTAATCGGTTTCCTGTAATACATCTAGTAGGTATTTACTTTCATTTTGTCATGCATTTATAGTGGTACTGTGTTGGCTCTACTATATTCAGTAGGCTTTATATGCTCTTTATTGGTCAGTCATTATTGTTGTAAAAGATTACTTGATCACTATCAGTTAACCTACCATGCATGTACATATAAACGTTTCCTGTATTAAACTTGTTATTAGTACATATAAGAATGATGATTTGATACTCATCTTATTCATATATGTTTTATTATTAAAGATGATCCAGATCGAGTTGTAAGCATCTTTCGACTGGTTCATTTTAATGATAATAAATGTGTGGTATGAGCGCAATACCTAAGTTGTAGATTTATTCACTGGAGAGACTAAATTTTTTTTAGTCAACAGAACAAGGTGCTGGTTAATTGAAGAAAGATTCCAACTAACAAATTCTTTTCAAAAATATTTTTCACAGATGTAACATGTATACCATCCATCACATAGAACAAACACTTCTGAAATCCTTATCATGAGCTATAGAAATTTTTCAATCAACCTACACATATTCACAGCAACAACACCTTTCTGTTTTTAACACCTTAAGTACTAGCATTTTTTCTAGACGAAAATAAACAATTATTGTGTTCCATTCTTCAGAGTAACACTAATGGATGTTCTTTATTTTCTGTAGGATTTACATAACAGAAAATTCATCCGGTGAGTGTATCGATTTTCAGATATTTATTTAAATGTAGTGCATCACATGATAAACTAGAGGAAGACAAATTAGTTTTTTTGTACTTGAAACGTTACAGAAGAGAACATTGTTTACATATGCACTAAGTTCTAATTAAATTGAAGATATTCAAGCTATTATTGTTCTACAATTTCATATTGAATGTTTTATTTACTATGATATAATTAATGCGTTTCCTCTCAGCAAGCATATGTGACCCTTTACTATTGGATAATTCATCATCATCTCAACATCAAAGAGTTTCGTATCGATTCTTAGTGACTTGTTTAGCATCTATCATGCTTCGGTATTTGTTATCTGCAAATTATTAATCAACATAGGTATCTTAACGAGTATCTCAAATGACTGTATTTAAAACCAAATGCATACATATTTAATAGTCACATTTGTGTGATGCATTTTACATGTTATCAGTGTCTATAATCTCGTAATTCGAATACTTCATACACTGATAAGATAGCTGACAGAATTCTACTTAAGGAACTAAATAAACACGAAGTCTATATGTTGCGAACTACAAAACTAGTTACATATGCGGTGAGCAGTTACAACTATCGCTAAAAACTGAGCGATGCTGTCACAAAACAATGAATCGTAAATAGAAGTAAAATGTTAGTGTCACACTATCATACATCAATATCATTTATTTCATAACCTATCAATGATTAACACCGAAGTACACTTGTAAAATAATAATTGGAACTCATATATTTTAAACTGATAGATAAGTTCAATAGTTGAGATCATGAGTCAATTGAAGCTAGATCACCATGGAAAACTGATAGCACTGGACGGCCGTCTCATTCAGTGCTTCCAGGTTTTCCATGGTGATCTAGCTTCAATTGACTCATAATCTCAACTACTGAAATTACTACAATCTCCACAAAACCCCTTCTGATAGATAAGTGTTAAAACAAGCACTTTATTTCGAAAATAACCAATAGAAGCAAAGTATAACATGAGAAACATAATTTTTTACGTAATACCACATTCATTACGTAACCTGTGTTCTAATATATTTAAGATAAAGGAAGATATTACATTTCTTTTATGTGAGTAGATTTATTTCGTTTGTTAACTGTACTTTCCTGTTTTTCTAATGATTTTGTAGAAACACCTAAACAAACGGAAACAACATCAACATCGACCGACCAATCAGGTTCATTATATGATTTTTCTAAAGTATTTTATGTTAAAGTATTGTTTCAGGCCATTAGTGTATCATTTCAGGTTTCTATGAATCTATCTAGTTGCAAGTTTATTTTATATTTTTGAAATATGTTAATCCAACTGCAAAACTGACACTATTTCCTGTCATATAAATCAGGACATAATATAGGAATAAAGTGATGAATAACGTTGTTGGTTGCCAAGTTGAAATATTATTGGTTCCCAATAATCTACATGATACCAGTTCCAATAGTCTATATGAATTTCATTCCGACATATCTATCTATATGATCGTCAAGTTTCACCTATAATAGTTGAATAGTTGACACTTCAATATATCTTATGCTCAAATATAAATACAGACGATTCCATTTTTGTTGCAAATGGTATTGTAGAGATATTTACTTAGATATTATAAAATGCATAACTAATCTCATTTGGGAATACAGTTTCAGTACTTAGGGTGCACTAAAAATCACCTTGCCTTCAGGATTCTAAGTTAGGAATTGCCTCGTGATGCAGTATGGTGATTTCCTCAATATGTGTCCTATCCACTTCCAACATCTTTTCATAATTACCTCTTCAGCTGGAAGCTGGTTTGTTTTTTCCCACAGTAGGCTGTTGTTGATGGCATTCTGTCAATAGATGTTGAGTATCTTGCGTAGACAACCATTAATAAATACTTACACATTCTTGATGATGGTTGTAGTAGTCCTGCAAGTTTCAGCTCTGTACAGTAGAACTATCTTGATGTTCGTATTGAAGATTCTCACTTTGATATTGGTTGACGGTTGTTTTGAGTTCCATGGGTTCTTCAATTGTAGGAATGAGGCCCTTGATTTGCCAATCCTCGTCTTTACGTCTACATCAGATCCTTCTTGTTCATCGACGATGCTTCCCAGGTATGTGAAGGATTCTACATCTTCCAAAGTTTCGCCATCAAGAGTGATTGGATTGCTGTTCTCCGTGTTGTATTTGAGGTCTTTGGTTTTCCCCTTGTGTATGCTGAGGCCTACTGATGCAGAAACTGCTGATACATTTTTGATTATCTATTGATAGAATTAATTGTCTTGGTGTTTACAGATAAGTAACTCAATCCTAATTACAAATGATTGAAACATAGATCCAACTTACTTAATCGATTCTCAGATGTGATACTATGTAACGTTTGTAAACAACTTAAAACAACTTCAGTCTAATACTATTTACAACAAACAAATGTTATATATATTTTACCATAACTCAATGATGAACATGAAAGTGTACATTCTTTTCATGAATGTTATCTTGTACAGTAGGTTTTGTAAACTTGTAATTAATAATCTAGTTACTATCAATAATACTTAATTCTATCATTGATTTTTAATCAATTTCAGATAGTACTGAAGCAACAACCCCTACTCAGAAACCACTTGGAGTTGGTGCTAAAATATTCTTAGGTATTCTGGATATAAAAAACAGACTGTCCAACTTATTCAACAAAGTCAAAGGTGGTAAATAACATGAATATCCTCAATAATAACACATTGTATTCTTTTTTAACAAGTAACTAAATCATTCTATATAACAAGAATATTAGATAGATTATAATTTGATATAGATGAGATCATCAAAGGAATTGAAACCACTAAATTGTAGCAATTTTCATGATAAACATGTTGAATATCAAATAAACATCACGAAGTAATTGAACATCTTTACTGATCAATACAAATTTGGAAGTGAAAACTTTTAGAAAGAGACTAAAATTAGTAATTCATTATTGATTATTTGTAAAAGTCTTAATTGATTAAATGTTTTGATAAAACTTATCTTTTGATTATTCTTTTAGATCTAACATAATCTCCAGATCTTCATAGAATATTCAAGAAATCAAAGAATATTTGAAAGAAAAATTGTTCTCAATAACCTTATCATTAGGTTCTACAGTTTTAAGTTAATAACTATGACAAAATAAGTCATTCATAAATGAATTTGACAATGTTACATACTATAATTGATGAACGTTTCCATCCGTTACGATATAAACACTTCAAAATACATATTAGTTGAGGCAATAATGATACCAATAATAATAATGACGTTGTGTCAGTCAGTTAGTCGGTAACATCGTGGAACTTTGTACGTAAGTATATCAGTTCGGGTTGCCATACCACATTAGCAAAGAGATACAATTGTCAATTCAAATCCCGTAGTGGTAGAGGTAGTAAGAGTATGCGCAATAATCAGAAACATAAGGGTTTGAAGATGTTATTCAAGCAGTATAATCCAGTGAAATAAATTTAGAAAGAGAAAAAATGGGACATGAAGAATTCAGAAGATTAGAATTTTGAGAACACAAAGCGCTACTGACACAACGTCAGTTGTGTCAATATATTATGTAATAATAGAAGTGTTTGCTAAGTAATTACGATAAAAAGAAACATTCATATGAATTGGGAAAGAATGTGTAGATTATGTAAGAAAGGAATTGGAATGGAATAAGTGGTTTATAGTTTCAAGTTTAGGTATCTGGAGTTCCAATCTTTAGTCAATGTCAACATAGAGGCTGGATATACATCTTCTGGACAAGTAAATTAGGCTTTCTGGAGTTGATTCAGTTAGCGTCAGCTAACTAGAGAAGTAGTAATGTAGCTCCTTTAGGTAAATTGTTTGGAACTTGATATATAAAACAGAGAAAGCTTCATTATTTTAATATGGTGCTTACTATCGACTAGGTGAGAAAGAATGGTGCTATTACTCGAATTAATAACTCATTTTCCCAATCATGTGGGTACATGTTCACGAACATGCAATGATTAAACCATTTGAGTACGTCCTATGTAACTAGCTCCACAGAAGCAGATGAATTAATATACTCACATGAAGTAGCAACCATCGGTCACTTGTCCTTGAATTGTTGTGTAAGTTCTGGTTTGGTTGAGAAAAATGTTTGCTTGAAATTTTAATTATACATATTAACATAAAGTTTAAGACCAATTTATATTATAAAATACTATTAACTGCAATAGAAGCCCAGTATTCGGATTTGTATGATTGTTGTATTCAGCAACTACATTCACTTCATGGAATTTATCGATTACCACTAACCATAATAAGTATCATTTATAACACGATTATTTTTGTATTTTACTGTGATAAAAATGTTTTCGTCTCATCTTTAAATCTCCCCGGTTTGTTCAATGAAATCATTAGTTTTAAAATGGTAACTATTGGTTACATATTTCTAAAAAGTAATATATAGGGTTATTATTCCTCGATTAATCGCCTTTCCGTCAAACTATGAACGTAAATAACTTACAAAGTATTGGCTCTATTATTTCGAACGTCGTCATGGCTACCGATCATGTATTCTTGAGCACGTTGTATCTGGTAATGTTTTAATCGTTTTAAGTTTTGAAGAGCGCCATCACAAATTATAAAAGGGTGACATACTGCCATTATGCCGTTCTTGACTCTGATTTCCATAAAAATCAGAGGCCTTACATAAAAATCACTCGCAATGTCATAAAAAGCGTAATTTATTAATTGAGTGAGATTAACCTTAAATTGTAGTTGTAAAGGCTGCGATCTATAATTTTAGAACTAGTCTTCCGTCTGATATTCACTCAAAATGTGGACGGGTAAAAAGAAATATCCAGGCATAACAGTCCTTGGTAGTTTCCAAAGCTATCTTATAGTTGTTGCCAGGTGGTTGCAATCAAACAACAAACTCTCCAGCGTCACTAGTGATAAATATTTATCTATTCAACTCATACAGCCAAGCATCCAAAAAATTGTATTCCTTTTTTCAGCAGATGTCAGAGTAATAATGTAGTACTGTTTATTGTTTCGCGCATAAAATGGTCTACAGAAAGATGTCTTAAACTCCGTTGGCATTATCCGCAGCATATGAGTTTCAGTTCGAAGTCTTCAATTGCATGAATAAGTAAATGTCAGTAATTCAGAAGACGAGTAGTCCCAACTATCGAACGAACGTTGATTTGGATGTCACGCTAAGTCATGAGGAATATGATGTTTCAATACACTCGGAAGAATCCAATGACAGAGACAACAAAGACAAGGATGATCATGACAACACGCCGTGTAACATACCATCTTGCTCAGTCGGAATGACTAAGTAGTTGGAATTAAGAGACCAAGGGAAGGCTGTTTTTAGGGCCACGCAAAATTTGATTTCAATTGCTACTTTTAATTACGATACAAATTGTATCAATAAATTACCGTCGTTCTCATTGTATATACGTTTTCTGTATTTTCAATGACAGTTTCGCCGTTATTGCATATGATGTTAAGTATCCAAGACCTATTTTTATTGTTGCATCTGTTCCTTTTCTTATATTACCGATATCCGAATTGACATCGTTCTTATGTATTCAAAAACAATCGGCATGAAAAATTCTGTGACTGCGCGAAACTGATTACACTGTAACAATTACATTTTTAGGAATAACAAATAGTAACACTTGTATGACGTAGTTAAATACTTGACGAGGTTATTGCAATTTGTCTGTTAGTATTATTTGGACATGATACTTGACAGATTAATCATATCCACTTAGCGTAATGTGAAAAATGACAACACAGTTATTTGAAAGTACTCATTTTTTACGTCTTACACACGGGCAACATGCACTAAATTATTTGCTTTTCACGTATGAAAACATAAGAATACTTTCAGCCGTATAATTACAGAACATTTTTATCAGCACTCAGGCTAATTTGTATTAGTAATCGTTTTCAAAAAATGGATCGTTTGACTGAGCTATCTTCTCGTCTACTCAGAAGTACATCTAAGAAGGAAAGCTGATCGTTCTTCTCCTCTTCACATGAGAAACTGATATGGTTATGAAGAGTGTTAAATTTATTCAGTAAATAGTACATATCCTCATTTCATTCACAAACAACGAAGATATCATCCACATATCTCTCATAAAGTAAAATGTTTTCGATTAGGTCATTAGCTTAATATATCACATAGTTCTAATAGTCTTCTTCTTGTTACATTATCGAAATTTATCAAAGGAACTAATTGTTTTGAATACTGATCTATTTTAGTAGTAGTATGATGTGTGCAACTTATATTGACCTAAGTAGTAGATGATGTTAGTCGTGAACAAATGGTCTGGCAACAGAGAGACAAGAGGATCGAACAGTAAAAAATGGAAACAGGATGCAATTTGTATGAAAATGCAAGAACAATGAATTCTGAATCGTTTAGAGACAATTGGTGGACATTTTGCAGATTTTATTAACAAGTCCTGTAATTTTGTGTTAAATATATTGGATTGTCCTACTAGTGTCCTTGTCCACTACAGTAGTAGTAGTAGTAGTAGTAGTAGTAGTAGTAGTAGTAGTAGTAGTAGTAGTAGTAGTAGTAGTAGTAGTAGTAGTAGTAGTAGTAGTAGTAGTACATGTAAACTTCAATAACAAATTTTCAGCCAGTTCATCTAGAAACTATAGGTTTAACATGATCATAACAAAATTAAACTTTAATACAACCAAACAACAATTTCTAAAGTTGACATCATTCATATTTAGCAGTTCAATTGCCCAACAACAAACAACAAAAGAAGTAATTAATATGTATTGTTCATTATCTATCAAAGATAGTTATTATTATTATTATTATGTTTAACTGTTACAGGTCTTTTATTCAATTATTCATATATGATTACAAATATGTACATAGAATATGTAAATGTCCCTTGAAATAATGTTTAACATATAAAAACCGATGATTTAAAGAAAGGGAGAAAAAATTGATTCCCGACGTCAATAATAGAAATTTATGAAATACACTACATGTCATTATTATGTTAAGTATGTCCACTTCACAATAAACTATATATGACGTAAAGTAGACAGTAATGAATTAGCCATATTCGAATATATTTTTTTCTCTTCATATTTCAAATATTATGAATGTTTGAGTTGTCATGTAGAAATAAAGTTGAAAAATAAAACAAACAAAATAAATAATTCAGGTAGTGATTTTGTCTGACTGTATATTTACAAAACATTTGTTATTGACAATACATATGAATAAACCTAACTATACACTTCCCAATACAATAACTGATTTACATTGTTAAATATACAGTGTTGTTTTCATATTAATAAATGTATATTGGCCAAATACATAGATTGAATGATTTGTAGTTGAAAACAATTTTTTTTTATATTAGAAGGGATTTTTTGTGGATATTATTAGTAATTTCAATGGTTGAGATCATGAGTCAATTGAAGCTAGAACATCATGGAAAATCTGATAGCACTGGATGGCTGTTTCGTCCTATTATGGGACTCACTGAATACAATGGTGGATGTGTCGATCAATTTCGTGGATTGGTTGAATTTAGATATTAACACCGTTGGATGCCAACTCAGTGGTCTAGGGGTTAAGCGCTCACTCGTGGGACTGATAAGTCCTGTGTTCGAATATCGCGGGGCAGGATTGTGGATTCGCACTGCTGAGGACGAAAAGGGCATCAAGTGATTCCAGGTTTTCGATGGTGGTTTAGCTTCAATTGGCACATGATCTCAACCATTGAAACAATTTTTATGTTAATGAATTCGTGAAATTTCACAATAACTATAAATTTAGCTATAGACTATTGAGTTTATTGTTGATACCTTGTCAAAGAGAAAAAAAAGACTTTATTGTATTAACATTTATTGTTTGTAAATATCACGTAAGTATTAATATTATTCGCCTTTTTCTCTTAAATCATTGTTCATTTGCGAAAGCGTAAACTGTTATTCTTTCATCAGTCTTTACCGTCTTACGTTAATATTATCTACCTATTCA